TCTCTCCCTCCTTTCTCTTTGTGTCGCTACTCTCTTCCCTTTGTGTCGCAGCCCATCCACCGCAAGTGGCGTAAGAGCTAATCGTTGCTGCCACCATGCTATCAGCACCACAACCACGCCGCTGTCTTTCTTGGGTTCATTTAGATTCATTAATCTCAGTGATTCCCCTAGATTGGATTTAGGAATTTAGTTTGCCATAGGACCTCATCCTTTTCCTTTTTCCCCTCTTTTGTTGTCTAATTTTTTTGGTTTAGAGAAAATAGTGCCATGGGTTCAATCTTCCAAAAAACATAGGCATGAACGTGTTAACCAAGTGAGATTATGATCCTAGATCTTGCTTGCTTTGTTAACCAATTGAGATATGTATTAGAAGGTACTTTATGTTCCCTTTATATGTCACAAGTACTATATAATCTTCAAGAACTTCACCACAATTGATGTGTTTTCTCATGTCAAGTGGTTGATGAAGTGAAGTGAAGACCTTTTTTGGCCGAAGAAGGATCTCATTATGTAAATGTACGTATTTTACTCCAAAATCTATATGAAACCAAGTGACAAATTTTTTTTCTCTATCGCTTCTTTGTTTTGTTTTCTTTTTTGTTTTGGGCTCTGGCGGTGTGATCAGCAACTAGGCTTTGACTTTCTTTTTCTGTGCGTGCCGGTGGTGATCAGTTGGTTTCCCTTTTTTTGTTAGTTTGTATGTGAAATTAGTTTCCATATGATCATGAATTGGAATTTAAGTTTTGGAATGAACTCATTATTGACCAACTGAATTTTCATTATTGCTGCTTGCGTGTTTCTAGAACTAAGGGTGACAACTACTAAATTGTATGGGTTGCTTATTAGAGGAAGCATGCAGCAAGAAAGGATCAAAGTGGAGAAGAAGACTCACCTGGAAAATAGGCTACTTTTGAAACAGATTTTGGATTCAAGTCTCTACTTTTCTATTTTTTTTATTGGGTTCAGATTTTGCTCATTACGGCTACATTTTTTCGTGGGTTTTGCAAACACACTCACTGGGTCACGCTCACGAACTGTTAGACCAAGTGCCCACTAAAGATACCAACAGTTGGATACTCATTTGTCATCTCTCTCTAATCCCTCTCATGTTGACAATTGTTTTCATAGGCATTGTTGTCGACACAATTGTTTGGTGCTCATTTATGTAGGCAGTACATACTTTTATTGTCCTTAAAGTAGTTTTGCTATGCTTCACACGGTTAATTTTAACAATGTAATTAAGGGATAAAATTAGTCACATTTGGCACATCACAGTTTATGCTTAGGCTTGGGTTTGTTGTATGGCTTAATTATGAACTTGGGTTCTGTTTGTTTGTGGGGAAATCAAGCAAGAAAAAAATTAAATAGATTGCTTAGAAAGGGGGAAAATTAGTTATGTTATCTCATTAATACCTTTTTGAAAAAGTAATCATTTGTTTGTATGGATTTGGTGGTACTATCGAGTTCTATGAATCAGAGTTTTAAAACTTGGTTCGGACAACAACCCGGCAAAGAGACCTGGTGACTGGGTTAATCGTTCAGCCGTTGGATTACTAGTTGAACTGACAATATAATAAAAAATAATAAATAATTATAAATAATAATAAGTATGCAAAAAAATTATAATAAACCCACCAAAATCTCATTTCATAGCAACAAAGACACCACCATATATCTAAATTCAAGCTTCAAAAGCATCAACAACATCCAAACAAATCACAGATTCAATGTATAAAAAATCAATGCATGAAAATAATCAAAAATCAGATAAAAATAAAAAATCACAGATTCAATAAAAATACTAGAGGTAGAGTATGATTGCTCTGAATTACAGATTGAATGTATACAAATCAAAAATCTAATATAGCAGGAGAGAGAAATTGAGAGAGAGAGAGAGTAGTACCTGCTATTGTCAATGGGAGTTGTCGTTGACTGCCATAATGGAGATCTGAAGCTTGAAGCAGCCTCTTCTTCGAATTCCTTCAAGTTTCTTCGAGATTTGAAGCAAGAGTCCCTGAAGGTTGAAGCAATGAAGAAGGAGCCCGTGAAGTAGAGTTCCTTCACCCTTGAGCTTTTATTGCTCGCTTGTAGTTACAGCAGAAACTCAGAGAGAGAGAGAGGTAAAGGGAGCAGTTGAGAGTCTCAGAGCAAGGGGGGGTTAGTGAACGATTTAGATTTTAGGGCAAAATGCCCCAAAAAAGCAAAAACGGAGAGAGAGAGAAACTCAAAATCGCTGGTGGACTGGAGGCTGAACTAGAGCATGGGATCGCTGGTGGAGGTTGCGTCTTCTAGTCTGGCCTGGAGCGATTTAGAGCAAAAGAAAATGGCGAAAACACATAGTACCTAAAAAGTGCAAAAGGTGTGTTATTTATACAATTTTTATTAAACTGTTCAGTTTAGTTCAACTCGCCCAGTTCGAACTGGTTCACCGCTTTTTGACCAGTTCAGCGGTTTAATTTTGATTTTCAAGCACAAACGGTCTTCTATGAGAACGGTCCAGTTAGAGCACCGGTTCTCCGGGTCAACCAGCCAGGCCGGATTTTAAAACACTGCTATGAATAATGCATGTTTTTGTTGATTATGTTGATTTGACTATAGAAATGAGTTCAGTTTACTAATGCTGATTTGAATTTTTTTTGTTCATGATTTTGGTCATATACTTGAAATTTTGTTTTTGAATATGTATGATGGAATAAAGAAATTGAGCAAACCAATGAATTAAAAAAAAAATCCATTTGCTAGGAAAATGGCTTTGATGGAAAGGCAAAAGAAAATGAAGTGTCAAGGTTTTCATGTTTAGTATGAGTAGTTGAAACTTGAAATTTATTTTTGTCCTGCTTAGTTTGAGTTGTGAATGACAAGGAAAATATATATATCCACAGAAAAAAAGGTTTCCAAGGGCCATACACAAAGAAGGTTAGATAGTTGGTTCAATTCCACTTCAAATACATCATTAGGGTCTTTCCTTTCTTTTCTTTTCTTTTTTTGGCACTTGAATATTTTTCAATTTGGGTGAATTAAATTTTATTGGTTCATCTCTATTTGATTTTGTTTCATGAGGGTCTTCCATCTCTTTGATTTGATATTAATATGGGAATTGGTGGGTGGGTTTCAGATGGTGTATTATATGTTGGTGTAAAGTGGCAATCTATGTCATTGCTTTTCTATTCTATTGTTAATTGCTCTTGCCTGAAATGTGCATGTATATAATTGCTTTTTTGCAATATTAGATTTTCGGATAGTTGCAATATTGTTTGGTATGCTGACCAGTGCAAGTGCATGAAATTGCCAATGGACATATTGAAATTGAGTATTATCATAGTTTGTTGGATTTTCACAAGTGCATGGAAGATTTAAAGTATTATCATAGCTTGAAATCAACGTAGGCCAGGACGAGACCTTCCAAATAATGCCAAAAAAATAGACAAAAACAACTTTAGTGAATTAGTCAATTATAGTACAACAATATTGTTCGCAAAATTTTTTTGATTTTGATCTTATCAATAATTTTCATCGTTTTGTTTTCCAGTTCATTGTGTAGGTATATTGCTTGACGGAACCAAGTTTGCTTCAACGAGAAAATGAATCTTGCACTTTTAAGCTTTGTCATGGTCTGTGAATTGTTAAACTATGCCATCATTTCCTCACTAGAACATTACAACAACATTGTAACTAATTGCTTCCTCTTAAGATTATTTGATGCTCTTTAAATATTAAGTTAAACTATTTATGTTCTAATTATTTACAATAAATCCATATTGTCAAATTAAATGAATCCCCTATTAAAAAAAAGGTGATTATGAGTCAAATGCATGTTTACACAACTTTATTTTTTTTGTTGAACTACATTGCGTGGTTGAAATATTGCAAAAGGTAAGAAAGTGATACACGGGCTCATGATTCCTCGATTAGTGGGTGATTTTTTTTGTGTTATACAGTATTTTTAAGTACGGGATATTACTAGTATAAGAACACGAGTCTTATCAACTCGCTACTAAAAAGTGTAGCCATTTGACGCATCAATAAGTTTCTTAGCTCACGAACTCTTTGCATATCTTGGGTTTTTAGTTTTGATCAAGTTGTTCGAAATCATTTGTGGATGATGGAGAAATCGTTATTTGTGTCTTTTACCAAATCCAGGTTTTCCCCTTTTTTGATTTGACTCTTAAACTTGCAAAGCTGTTTTCCATTGGCATCGTTCATATGAATTTTGTCACTTATTAATGAGACTCATTTATTTGATGACAAAAAATTATATCTCATCATTTTTTTTTGTTTTTGAAAAAAGAGGGGAGGGGCAACGAGTAGGAAATAACTCCTGAACACGACCATGAGAGGCTCCTACTATGAAGTGTTCGATTTAAGTCATAACTATTATTTCAAAAGGGTACTTCATTACCACAGCAACATTAAAGCCTAGCAACAAACCGTGTTGCTCTCGTTAATTGAACACTATTTGATAACTAAACGAAATATTTGATAAAAAAAATTGATAAACATAACATTATCTTTTATAGAAATTATATACTAAATAATTTCTTGGGTATAATTGATTTTTAAAAAGATAGTTTAGTCTTAAATGCGACATGGTTTTTTTTTTTTTAAAGTTCTAAAGAAGCTTTGAATGCTTTCGTAAGTAGCCCGTGCAAAGGCTTGAAAGAATCAGGTAATGAACTCCAAATAAAAATATTCCATTGGGAAGAGGTTGATTGCGGTGTGCTTAATTAACAAGACTATTGCACCAGGGTACCAAACCAAAATTTGGTCTCGATTAATGATTTTTAATTTAAATGATGCATAATAATTGTTTGAAAAAATAATAAAAAAATAACAAAATATTATTTTAGTTGACACCTTTTATTGGATTGTAAACAAATGTACGACTCTGAAAAATAGTATTTTATACCGTAATCGATTATCCATTTTATATTAGCAAGACTTGTGTTATTTTATTAGGTAGAAACGAAGATTTAAGTGGTTAGTGATATTTCTAATATCAGTGGATTCCCAGTAACACCTTTTCCGATGACAGTAGGCCTTGTTCTATTTCCACTACAGATTGAGAATCCAATCGAGAGCCTTAGCCAGGGACAAGGTGATCAGGTGTCAACGATGCCCGTCCATCCAATCCCAGTTCTTCCAATGCCAATTGCATCAAGAATGACAGATCCCAACTTAAATCAGAAATCAACAGTTGAAGCGTCCCCCCTGTCGCTGAAGTTGTGTCTATCTTCCGATCAGAATTATCAGTCACAGTCGAGGAATTCAGCATTTCAGGTGATGCCAGGCTTCAACAATGGAGATAGCATCATTAGTGTTGCATAAGAAAGTTAATAACTTTTGAAAAAAAAAAAACATGGTCCGTAATCAGAGAAATCGGATCAAGGAATGCTAAGGTAATTCGTTTGGCTAGAATTTTTCTTCTGTTTTTGTACAGACCAGAACCATGTGATGTCTTCATATGCTACTTGTTCTGTGGTATGATCTTAGATTCTTGTTTGTTTGCCTTTTTTGTTGGTAGTTGGGAGGAAGCCTGAATAGCAATAGTACCCTCTTGTTGTTTGCTGGTATGGGTGGGATTGGTCTAGTGGTTTCTATAGATTTTTTTTGGGAAAATATCCAAGTGGGGGTTACTGGTGGATAGTCATTGTACTCCTTATATGATAAAATCAGTACTGTTGTTTTGTTTATGTCTGTGCGATGGAGATAAATTTGTCATGAATGTGGATGGAATTGGGTCCTTAATTAATGGTGATGGTACAATGGTAGGACCTTTAATTTTAAAAAAAAAACTGGATGGCCAGTGGTAAGAAGGAAAAAGACTTTGGTTGAGCACATGCTTCTGCCACAGTAGGTCTGATGGTTTTGTAATGGCTTGTAAGGAGTTTTGTATTCTTGATTTTGTTTTGAAGGATTAAAGCCATTTAAGGCTTTAGTCCTATTTGATTCTTGTAATTCTTTGCATTCATGAAATAAAATTATTTCTTTCTTAAAAAAAAAAAAAAGGTGCTCATTACTTGCACATAAACAAGTAGATGAAGGACAGACAATTTCAGACATAAGCATTATTGGTGCGCGAGACTCTCATTATTGTGGAGTCTGGAGAGTGTTAGATGTACGCAATTTTGCGACTCGAACTTGTAACCTCCAAGTCACAATAGAGTAACCTTATCATTGCGTCAAGGCCTGCGCTCACAAATAATTTTAGACATAATGAATAGAAATGCTTTGATTTCTATTTCTTATACAATAAAATTCTAATGCACGTAAAGTTTTTTTTGGTTATTTAAGCACATATGCTATCCTCTTTTTTTACCCTATTTTCCTCCAACGTTTCTTCAATGGCATTTGGAACGCAATTCTTCAATTAAAGTATTCAAACCAGAGAAAGATGATCCACCATCTTCAACGGCCTTCCTTGCCATCTCCTTAAACCTTTCTGCTCTTCTTCTTCTCTCCTCAGCTTCTTCACCCACCATTATCTTCGTCATTGCTTTTTCTTCAACATCGCTTTTCACACCCTCACTTGCCAATCTATTCCATTCCTTAACTCCAACACCAACTCCAATCTTCAAAATCTCAGTCACCAACTTTTCATTATAAAATTGCTCTGCAAAAACCGGCCATGTGACCATTGGAGCTCCAGCAGAGACACCTTCCAAGGTTGAGTTCCATCCACAATGAGTCACGAAACCACCCACAACTTCATGATCAAGTATCAAAACTTGGGGTGCCCACCCTCTAATGATCAATCCCTTCTCTCTCATTCTCTCTTCAAATCCTTCCGGCAACCACTTTTCATTGTGGTCTTCTTCTTCTTTTCCTCTTTGGACAACCTAGACAAATTGTTGTTGGGAAGATTCAAGCCCTATCGTGTCCTTGTACAATTGAGAATCAGTAAATTGGGCTAAGCTTCCAAAACACAAGTAGATAATTGAATTGGGTTTCTTTGAGTTAAGCCATTGTAAACATTCATGTTCATCAATGAAAGTTTTCTTTCCTCTGTGTGCTTTCTCTTCAATATCCCTATTGCAGAGAGAGAGTGGGCCTATATGCTACGCCCTTCTGCCCAAAACCTTTGTGTAATGAGCAACATAATCGGGTTCAAGCTCGTGAAAGCTATTTACTACAACACCATAACTATTCAGCTCTGATTCATTTATTCGATTTTCGAACTTTTTCCATTCACTTTCAGACTCTTCTCGATCATACTGAGAAACTTGTTTTCTAGTTAATTTTATTTCGTGTGGAAGATTAGGCAAGACAACAAGTTCATAATCAGAGGAGATGTTCTTGAAAGGCTAGTAGTATCTCGTGCTCTCCATAGCACATAATGCAAAATAACTTGTTCCATGGAAAACAAGTCTTGGAATGTCAAATTTAGCTACAGAATCTGTAGCCCAAGAAAACACCTTGTCAGCTATTAGGCAATTAGGATGACACTCTTGTAGAACTTACTCGAGAGGTTGTTGAAGCATTGTGAGGGCGTTCCTGAACTTGTGTAGCAATTCGTCTGAAGTGAGTTGATCAACACTTTCACAACCTTCCAGCAAGCCGGCTGCTACAACTTTAGAATTGATCACCCAAGTGCAGGTTGTCGCGAAGTAAGATAATACTCGGAAGTCCGAGATCGAACCATAGGGAATTCTAACAAAAAATAATAATAGAAATATCAAAAAAAATTTTAGAGAACAATTTAGTAAAAAAAATTGTTGAGTTGAAAATATTGATTGGAGATATTTAAATAATATAATAAAAATACTAAAGCATCAGGTACTTCCTCTCAATTCCATACAATAATGATTAAAAATTCAAATCTTAACTTGAGACAAGAATCAGATGTCGGTTGATTCGAGTAACAAATTAAGTAAAAAAATCAAAAGTTATAATCAAAATATTATTCAGGAGCCTGAATAATCATCCAATTATATTATTTTATGAAATAATGATAAATACTTCAAACGTGGAATAACCAGTTATTTACTCACAGATAAATTCAAGCAATCGCTGTACATGACACAACGACTCAAGGATTTTTACAGAATAAAAATTTTGCTAAGAAATCAGAAGTTAAATTAACAAAACATCATAAATCATTAAGCACATAGTCAATAATAGTACTGTGCTTTGTTGAGAGGTTTTCCCCTAGTCCTGACTTAGTCTTTTAGCTAGATATAATGAACTAAAACAAAAAGAAAAAGATGGAAAAAAGAATAAGAATAATCTCTAAATGAGAACCCCTATTTATACTAATAATAAATCCTAAGTACAGGTTGAAAGGAATTCTTTTTCAAAAAAGAAGTCTTGTAAGGTTAAATTCCGTGCATAAAATCTTTGGGATCCCAATACAAAATCTGTCAGATTTTGAGCTTAAATTTCGCATATTTAGAGGTTGAATCACGACAATTTTGGGAAATACACTTTTGTAGCCCTTGAAGTCTTCTGTTTAACCCCCAAATATCAAGTAAATCGGATATCAGATTCAAAAGTTATGACCAAAATACTAAAGATGTGTCAAATCCTTTTCTTTTTGGACACTTTCTTAATCCAACTCTAAATGAGTTTTCTTCCAACTTAGACTCTTATAAGGATTAAATTGTTGTCATAGCTTCAAGTCTTTCAATCTCAATCTTGACTCTTCAATTCTTATCAATTATCATTTTTTCTCTAGTGATTGACTCACTTGCATTATTCATTATTATTTTAAATGAGAGAGAGAAGGAGACCAGAGTTGAGAGACAGGCAGGAATTAATGCGAGAGAGAGAGAGAGAGAGACAGAAGTTGAGCAAACGTTCTTGTGATTGACTGGGATGATGAGTATGAGAAGAAACATGCATGGAGTACATCTGTATAGCCTTGATGGGACATTTTCAGACACTCAAAGATGATGACACGTGTCATCGGCGTCAATGGATACTCGTCGATCAGATTACGACACGTGCGCGTTGGTCCATAATTCCCCCTTCCCCCGAGGGACTATTCACAGGGATCAAGAATCCCCAATATGACATAGATCGACACGCATCCCTCGGTCAGTTTAGGTACATTGGCTCCTAGTGACACTGGACCCTCGGCACCGAGGTATATTTGTCTATGAAGCATTTCTGCTCCTGCAGGGGCTACTGATTGACGAGTTACTAGCCTAGGTTAGGCTAGACTAGCTATCATGACATTGTTCCACTCAAATGGTGTCAGGAGGCACAAGAAGGTAGAAGGCTCAACCAAAGGGGAATGAACACGTGACATATTGTGTCAGATCAGTGACAAAAAGACCAGAATGCCCTTGCTGACACACGACTTGGGAAAACAAGTATTTAATGCACCATTTCCTTAATGAGACAACATTTAATGCATAAGAGCTCGGAAGTGAAAGGTAATAAATGTCCCAAAGTCTGAGCATTTAATACACCCCCATCGAGGGAAGATCATTAAACGTTCGGCAGACCGAGGAGAAAGCATTAGTTGCTCGGGGTCCTGAGCAGTAAAGATTAAGAACATCACTCATAGAAATTGGTGTGCACACTGCCCACCTCCAATAATTACTTATTAGCTACGTTGACAGAAATGATGAATTTTTAAGGTATAAATAGTCCTCATAAACACAGAAAAGAGGTACGTAACAAACCCTCTCTCAACCATCATACAGTGTTTTCTTTTTCCCTTCTCTCAAAGAACTGACTTGATCGTCGGAAGGGATTCGCCGAAAAACACTCTGGCGCCCTTCTAACCTGTTTTTCTTTGTTTCAGAAACCTCTTTTAGCCTTCCAAGATCACTCAAGCGACTCATAAAAACGATTCATTATCCACCTTGGGCCACCTTCGACCCTCACAACCTATTTCAAGTAGCAAGATGGACCACCCAATTGACGGACACATGTTCACCACAGAAAAGATGTGTTATAGTGTTTATATTGTGTAGGATCTTGCACGCACAATCTGGCGTCGTCTGTGAGAAACGACTAGTTTTCCTAGTTTCTTCTCTAGAAAGAACAGTGACCATGGTGAATACTCGACAGAAAGGGAAAGATCCCCAACAAAGAAGTCTCGAGTTACAGGCTCCTCGTCATGGTGGAGGGAGGGATCACGCTGATGAAAATAGGAACCTTTCTATTCAGTCAAGGGGGCATACTCCTCAAACCAGTATGGGCATTAGGTCAGGAGGATCCGCCCCCTTGGCTCGTCAACTGGCGGAGGTGATTGAAGAAAAGTTTGGGGATCGACTACGACAGTTAGAAAAAGATAATGTGAATGTCCTAAGCCGGCTTAACGAATTTGCCACCTCTAGCGAAGGATCGAGGGACTCATTCCGTTCTCGCGGATGCCC